ATGATTCTTAAGAGTGAGCCATCTCTCACTGGGCATTCGGAGTGGCCTTGATCTAAGAGGGTGTTAATGTAAACAGGGTGTTATTTTGATATGGCTGGACCCAGAGATGTCTCCATATTTGCAAACGTGTATGATGTAATATGACATGTGATGATGTGGCAGGGTGTAATACTGGAGATATAAAAAATGCGTCTTTAACTTTGGGTCCAACCTCCTGAAGTCATCTGTAACACAAGTCTAGTCATTTTTTATTTCTTACTCGGTCCTCTGCAGAAAGTTGGCAGGTTTTGTGTCATTGTCATCTCACAGGTTTCATTTCTGTCAGAGCTTTATTTTTTTAGCTTTTAAATGGTCTGACATTTTCCTCATGTGCCATCAAATACAACAAGAAATTCAATGTGGATTCTTTAGAGTCGCTCTTGTCAGGTCCTGCTGCAGCATTAAGTATCACCAAACCATGACAGTTTCACCTCCATTTTCATAGTAGGTATTAAAATCTATCAGATGTGGTTTATACCAAAATTTCGAGAGAAAAAAGAGAGCCCTGCCCCAAAATGCATGAATCATTATGCTGCTTTTGGAAATCTGCTGAGTCTGGTGCGCAACATACTGTAGGTGAGGAAATTGTTTTGTGAATATTTTCTGAAAAAGCACTCTGCATCCTGTTTCTCAATATCAAATCATTTCCTGTGTCCCTTCCACTCGTTTCAGTTTACAGACTGAATTTTACAGAGGAACTGAGAGGAGGTTGCTGTGGGCCATTGTTGTCGCTGCCTCAGATCAGTGACAAGAACTTCACTGCAGAATGTGTGAGGGAGCACAATGAAGCCCACTCAGCTGTCAGCCCATCTTCGAGCAAAATGCTTTACATGGTAAGTACTGCACACCTCAGCCTGTGTTTCACTGCCAAAAAAACAAGACCAAGCCGTGTTTACTGCTTAAGCACCAACATTAATGACATACTATTAGAGTGTACTTTCTTTCAGTTATGCAGTTTAAAAAGGGGAAGCTTGCATAAACTACATATAGTAGGGCACTGATATAGCTTCCCAAAAAATACACAAATGCTATGTTAAACTTAGGTCAACCGGTTCAAATTGGCTAAGTTAATTAAGTGCAAAGAGTATCACGTGGATACTTTTATAATAACTATTGAAGACAACTAAGGATTACTAAATCCAGCATTATAGACTTAGACTTGTATAACTTGCTGTAAGTCAAACTTAACAGATACTAATAAGTAGTGTCTCCCCGATACCTGGCTGTGCATTATTGCCGATACCGATACCATACAGATAACATCTGTTTGAAATTGAAATTGTGTGTGTGTGTGTGTGTGTAATGTGTGGCCATGTCTTTAATACCTGGTGGGGACAATTTCCTAGGAATATGCTACATTTTGGGGACTCATAGGTACTTGTGGGGACCACCAACTGGT